CGGCCCCGGCGCCTGCACCTTCGACTCCCGGCACCTCTACACCAAGAAGGTCTGCGGCGAGGGCTCCATTCGTGCCGTCTCCTACAACATCCTGGCCGACACCTACGCCCAGACGGAGTTCTCCCGCACCGTGCTCTACCCCTACTGCGCCCCGTACGCCCTGGAGCTCGACTACCGGCAGAACCTACTCAAGAAGGAGCTGGCAGGCTACAGCGCCGACCTCATCTGCTTGCAAGAAGTGGATAAGTCCGTCTTCGTGGACAGCTTGGCTCCAGCCCTAGATGCTTTTGGACTTGAAGGGCTCTTCAGGATCAAGGAGAAGCAGCATGAAGGCCTGGCCACTTTCTACCGCAGGGACAAGTTCAGCTTGCTCAGCCAACATGACATAGCTTTCAGCGAAGCCCTGCTCTCAGATCCACTCCACAAGGAGTTGCGTGATAAACTGGCCAAGTACCCCTTGGTGCAGGAGAAGGTGCTGCAGAGGTCATCTGTGCTGCAGGTACCAGCTTTTGTTTGTGTTCTTCCTCTTCCCACTGTCTCCAGGCAGGTGCAGCCAAGCCAGGTTTGTTGAGCATCAAACCGCAGAAGGAAGGCAAAGAATTAACAATCTGAAACATAGAACAGTGATATGTTCTCAGTTAGCTAGGGTAGTGAATAGAGCAGAAGAGCAGCTTAGGAACAAGAACAAAGCATTGAGACTTTACTGAATTGGATATATGATAAAACATAAATGGATATGGAAATGGATTGATGATAAAATTTGATAATAAAGGCAAAATTATTTTGTTTTAAGATGAAGACAGCTGTTGAGATTCAGGGTCAGGTATCGATTCCTGGTTGGTGGTATTGGCTGCCAAGCTTTTCACTACTTACTCTCATATGTCAGAATATGTATTTGATAAAACTTATATCTAGTAAATCAGTTGTAAATGAGATTAAGTTAATTTGACTTGCTTTAATAGTGGCACTCTACAAAGTGATAGCAAGGACAGAAATAAGGTTGAACAGGTTTGTAAGCTTGTTGATGCCAGTGGGTCTGCCAGCAGAGCTATTGTGGAAGTATAAATGTGTAGGGTCTAGGTCTGTGTCAGGACTTTCAGAAACACTCATTGGTAAAAGTTTCCTACTTGTGGACTGAGTAGGACTAACAAGCTTTCCTTGATAACTGAAATCACCTTGATCATGTTCAGTTTAACAACTATGCAATGCTAGTTTGCTTGCTGAAACCAGAGATAGAGCTGCAATTCTGTTGCAAATGGGAGAATAGAAAATAAAAGTAGTTAAGAATGGTACAGCATTAGCAACATCTTATGGAAAAAATATGGAATGAATTGAAGGAAAAAAATACGGCCAAACCAGACATTTACAGACAAAGGAGCATTTGTCAAATACCTGGATGTAGTGGTAATATTGGTAATATACTGGCTGAAACCCAGACCTTATATAGAAGATAAATAGACTCAACTTAGGAGCTGTACTGTTCATTAGTTGTAAGCATCAGATTCTTTGAACTGGATTGCCATAAATGCATAAGCTAACTATTGCATTTTTTAAAATATACAGTCTATTGAAGACTTAAAGATTGCTTTTTCTCTTGAAGGTTTCAGTTCTTCAGTCTACAACTGATCCTTCCAGGAAGATTTGTGTAGCTAATACCCACCTATACTGGCACCCAAAAGGTAATTTTGTCATGTTCCTGTATGTAGGATAACTGGGTTTGTAAAGGTTTTTGTCCTTCCTAGGGAGAGTGGATTTCCCCCTATTCTTTTGCAGCTATAACCTTTTCTTCTGGAACTGAGAGTTTCCTGCCTTGCTGCTTATCTAGATGGATCAAGCCAGGCTGCTAGGTCTGTTGACTTACTTTCCTTAGAGTAAGATTGTTCTAGTCTGCCTGGGAGTCAGTAGAATATAGCTGAAAGCAAGGTAATTCATGTTACACACAATTTACCCACAGAGCATACCATAAAAATATAGCTAGCTTTTTGTCTGCTCCTGGCTTCCCAATCCTACTGTACCTGAACCAGTTACATTGGGGTATTGCCAGAAGAGCAACCAAATTGGGTTACAGAAGCTTTTAGAAGAGATTCTTCTCTTCTAAATTAGTTTTCTTTTGGTTCTGTGCCTTTCAGGAACACTGTTGTTATGGTTGCCACAAAATGGAAAGCTGCTCTAATATGGGTGTTTAAGGTTCAGAGTTCTTGCATGTGTGAGTTTAAATTTAAACATTGTCTGCTTCTCTAAAACTTTCATAGTCAAACTTCAAAGACTTCTTTCTTTATGAAAACTACTCTAAAATCTAGTGCACGGAAAGTTTGAAATGAGATTACTGTTTCAGAGCTATACATGATATATGCTTAAATGAGCAACTTGGAAAATTCCTCTAATGCTGCTGTGAAGTATTTAAAGTAATATGTTTTTATATTCTTAGGTGGGAACATCCGTCTCATCCAAATTGCTGTAGCCTTGTCTCACATCAAGCACATAGCATGTGATTTGTATCCTAGCATACCAATCATATTCTGTGGAGATTTTAATAGTACACCATCATCTGGAACTTACAGTTTTATTAACAGTGGTGGCATTGCTGAAGATCATGAAGACTGGGTCTCTAACGGAGAAGAAGAGAGGTGCAATATGCCTCTAAGCCATCCTTTCAAACTGCTAAGTGCTTGTGGAGAACCTGCTTATACAAACTATATTGGTGGGTTTCATGGATGTCTGGACTACATTTTCATCGACAAAAATGCTCTAGAAGTTGAACAGGTCATTCCATTGCCCAGTCATGAAGAAGTAACAACCCATCAGGCTTTGCCAAGTGTTTCACATCCTTCTGATCATATAGCACTAATATGTGACTTAAAGTGGAAATAGAGCAGCTCTTGCATGGTGCTTTTGGGGGTTTTCAAACAAGAAATTTAATTTACTGCTGAAGAACTGAGGTTACATCCTTGGCTTAGATGCTATTAAAAGGGAAGTCAGAACAATTATCAAAAAGTTCATGTTTCATGGTTCTACTGAATATTATTACACCGTTCAGAACACTTGCATGACAACTGTTCCCTTTTTTATATGCTAATAAGAAAACCAAAAATATTTAAGACAAGGGATTTTGAAAATTGGATTATCACATACCTTTTTATAGGTGTTTTTAAAGGATTAAGAATTATTTTGTTAAACATACATGAATTTAATCTGATTTATAAGACAGTGTACAAACTGAATCCTGCTTAATTCAGAATCACATGCAGAACTTGAAAATAGCTTTAGCTGATTCAACCTTACTGTAATTACTGTCATGACAAGACAGTTTTTAAAATAAGTTCAGAAATTGTCTTGTTCACTTACTAAAAAGTTGGACACAGTAATGGTAAGTGGCATAAACAATGTACATGTACCTACTACCTTCTGAAAAGATGTTCTTTAATTGTCAGTGGATAGGCTTTGTGTCAACAGTCAGCCATGTTGAATTCAAGATTATAATTGACTTGGAAGCATTTTGCTTGCCCACTTAATATGGATAATGAGGGTAACTTTAGCACCTGGTAAAATTGGACTACACATATAAGTAAGCATCTACTTTGAACATTTGTTCCTTCTGTTGTGTATAGTTATTGGCAATATAAGAAATACTAAAGTTTAAGACAGCCAACTCTGGCTGGGAGGGAGCTTTTTAATAATACAATCTGTTTTCAGATGGTGGTGGGGACAGACTAGTGTGGTACATTAGGTATCTGAATCTAAATCTTTAAAAAGACAAGTGACTTGCAAACCTTTATCACAATTGTTCTGTTTTCTTCCTCTATTGCATACAGAGACCACCTGAATTTAATAGTGGTTTTCCCACATTTTTTCCTTCTAGAAATAGTCTAGTCTTCCCTATTTTGTATGAGTTAATTTGGAAGTGGGGAAATTGATTTTATCCATACCTTCATTGAATGTGTTGGAGAGGTTTGAATCATTTAACAAGCTTCTGTCCCTGCATCATTAATCCATATGAAACAAACTGCATTTGAAAACCCTTTCACTAGATCTCCCTCTTTCATGTAATAAAGTTCCCTTTTCCATTGTCTGTCACTGTTGTCACTTGATTTCTTTCCAGATACTGGTGTCTTTCATGGCAAAGGAAGTCTGCCCAGGTGATAAAAGCTGTGTAGTCTGTACTTGCACAACTAGGTACTCGCTTCCACTGCATTCTGGTGGACTGTAGGTTTTAGTTGGGATTCAAACTCTATATACTGCTAAAAATAGGTAGTCACTTGCAAGTAGCCTATTGCTGAGGGTGACTGGTCATGTCTCTTGCTGTAGTACCTGCTATACTGTGAAGGGTGGTGCATTGCAGAAGTTTGTAAACATCTGCCTTTTAGCCTATGTTATTTCCAATAAAATTACTACTGGTTTTTGTTACTGTAGTATGTGAACATGTAACAAGTTGATGCTGATAAACAACTACCCTAGTAAGGCAGGTTTAGCCTCAGGTCATACAAGGCTAAAAAACCACTGGGCCATAAATCTGAAAACATACCTCACTGTCTCAAACATGACATAAGAAAACAAATCTCATGAACTGTCCAGAATTGTTACCAACTCTGCACATAAAAACACAGGTAAATGGGAATTCACAACAGGACCATTCCATTAATGTGCAAGTTTGTAGAAGCCTGTATTACATGAGATCTCGTAAATGTCCTTTGCAAGTAGCTTTTTCCAGCAACCTAAGCAGATACCTTCCACCTTCCTGTCATCCCAACCTCTCTTACCTGATCTTGCTTTACCGCCTCTGAGTTCTGGCTACTTGTTACTGCTCATGCCACATGAAACTAAAATAGGGTAATAATCCAGCTAAAAATACAAGGCCTTTAATTTGTAAATATTTGCAAAAATAAAATGTGTATCATTTTAGTGGGTCATTATATCCCGAGCTAATCCACCATAAAGCCTCTTGTGCCCAAAGAGCAGGATACAGGCTTGGAGGTAGGAGTAAGTCATCAAGGCCTGGAGCAAGGCCTTTACCTGCTCTGCCACAAAACATAACACAAGACCTAATTGAAAGGGTGATCAGTGATTCATAACTAGACTTCCAAGATACAGGAATGAGGAAAAATCTTGCAAACAGAATGGAGGCTGTAAACCTTGTGTCTGGGCAAAGAATACTTAATACTTACTAATTTAGTACATGAGGGAAAGCTTACACCTGAAGATTGAATGTTTGCAAGCATATGGCATCTTAAAGGGTAGAAAAATTGGAAGAGCTGTTCAAGAAGAAAATCTAAGTATTAGACCTTGGAAAAACACTGAAAGTGACTACATTGTATCTGAGACAGAGACCTCCTACAACTTGCCAGCTCTGAAAAATTTTGGGGAAAAAACTTGAAAAACAAAACTCTGAGTAATGCAGGCTTGTAGGCTGGCAAGAGAAATGACTTAGTCACTTAGGAAAAGATGGCAATAAAATTTGGAAGTGAAATCATATTACTTAAGCTAGCTGAGCTCCCCTGATAACTTAAAAACCCCATTCTTCTTCTTTTTAATACCTACCCATTACAACTGGATTGCTTTGTCTTATTTTCCAAATCCAAAACATCAGAAATCTTTAACTTCTCCATAGTACCAGAAGATGGAGCTGCTCAGAGAAGAGACTTGCCTGGTGTTCAGCCTCCCTTCCAAGAAACAGCAGGTCCCTCTCATTCCCTGTACCCCTGCCTGGGTTGCTGCAAGGAGAGGGAGAGCACAGAAGAGCTGGCATCTGCAGGAAGCCAGTGGAAAGGGAAAAAACACGGCACTGGAACAGGCCCAGTAAAATTAGATGGCCCTTGCACATGGGAGATAATCCTTTAATATCTTCAGGAAGAAATTCAGCCCCACAAGTGAGTGCTGGAGATTCTCCAGCCCAAGTACCTCTGGTTTAATTAGTCAAATGCAGCAGCACAAGCTGAGTGCCATAGCAGCAATGTGTCAGGAACCAGCCAGATATTTCTGGAGTCAGAATGCAGCACTAGGGTCTCAGTTAGGAAAAAGTCACCATTCAAAAGGATTGTTATATTTTGAGGGGGTGAAAAGCAACCCTTAAGTACACCTTTGGCCCATATCCCCCATGCTCCTAAGCTATATTTACATCTGAGGTAATATATGGTGCTTCCTACTCCACATAAGGTGATTTTAGCTCCCATTTTAGCTCTCCCTCCACATCTGGACCTTGTCCAGCAATTAATTCTTCCTCTCTAAATGACCCCTATAACCCAGATTTGTAGAAACTCCATTAAGCTTGTCTCCATTTAATTTCATAATCCTAAACTCACCTGCGTTCCTCTTCCAGCAATTGGAATGCTCCATATCCTTCACATCAAAAAAAAACTGGGCAAGATTCTCTTTGCATCTTTTCAAACATGATTGGTTTGTTTTTGGGTTTTATTTGTTGTTTTTTGTTTGGGTTTTTTTTGGCAGGGTTTTTTGTTACTTTCCCAGACCAGCCATTAAGGAAAAAGGGAAAAAGAAACATCTCACTTAGCTTTCTAATCATCTTTCCCATCTCTGATGCAGTGAACTCAAAAGAGATAGCACTGCTCCAGCATCTGCTCTGACTAGCTGTTGTCTCGGGAGGAGTTTTGTCTTTCCACTGGCTCCTGCTGTGGACAAACTTGTTGCTCACAAGAACAATACAAGGACTAAGAACAATGAGGAGGTAGTAAGATACTTGGCTATTTGGGTTGTTCTGGTTATTGTGAAATGTAGTTAACCCATGTATTTGATATGTACAAAAACCAAACAAGTTCTGCCATATCCTTCAGATGGGACTGGCAACTTGAAACTCATATTATTTTTTTCGCTGACCTTGTCCATTCCAGACAAAGGGATCTTAGTCACCCATGACAGTTAGTACTTCAATTCTTACACATCAGTTTTTCTTGTATCACTGCTATTTTTGAAGGGACTAATTCAAGCTTTCAGTAAAACGCATTTATGTATCATGATAAAGCAAACAATAATGCAAAGTATGATTAATAGGAGGAGGAAGAAAAGGAAGGAGAAAAGTGGCACAAGAAGAGGAAAAATACCCAACATGCTAGAGTGTCAGATATTTCAACACCTCAAAAATTGTGTAGTTGCCTTGTTGCTCACATTCCTAACATCAAAAAAATTGTTCCAAGACTGTCAACTCCCACCCAGTAAGAGGAAGAGCCTGAAACATTGTTTTCCTAGAATTTGCATCAGATCCCTTAATAGGGCCTGATGCTTTTAAAAATTCTTCTGCACAATGCACACCACAGTTGGTAGCTAAGCTTTACTCATAGGTCCAACAGCAGCATATCAAAATGTCATTTCCTACTCAAGTCCCCTGTCAATACCATTCTTGACAAGGGTGGGAAAGATGTACCGTGACAAAGTAATATGCAAAGTTTCATCATAGTGCTCTCAACCTGCCTTAATATAAAGGTTACTCAGCTGAGCAAGGGACTGCAAACTGGGCTCTGAATTCTCATCACTGGCAAAACCCTAAATCACTTTTTACACAAGCCAGACCATTGGTGCAAATGCCCTTGTAGTATCCTATTGCTTCCAGTACATTGTTTTACGTATATTGAAAACACTGAGAAAAAACGAAGCAAGCAGAAGTGCTTATAGCATTTGTTAATTCCTGATGCTTTTAGAACCAATTTTTGTTCTACTTGCAAACAGATGAACCCAAGTCCACGATTATCTACAAAACACCTGCAGCAAGTTCTAGATTATATTGTTCATGAAGCTTTTTAAAAAAAAACAACCCACACAACACCCAAACCAACAAATATCCACTACTATTTATGTTACAGGATTGAGCAATAAGGTTAGTTACATGCGAGAAAACCAAAACAAGCCTTTTGCTCTGGTCTACATGTAGATCTGAATATTCACGCAGAACTATTCTCCTAATGTTAGGAAAAAAATGAAAAGCCAATCATGCGT